CGACCAAATATATATATAGTATCTTAGTGTCTGTGTTTATTGTCACCATACTTTACGTAACAATAGAACCGTTACAGGAGTATCGGACGTAATTGTGGAGACAAGATTTCCAACTCTCACGTTTAGCTATACGGATGCGCCTGCGGGCCACCGCACTCGTCTTCCGAAATAAAATAAAAGAATCAGCCGTCTGCCGGTGTTGATGTTTCACCCAGGCTGCACGCTTACAGCGGACAGCCCGAGCTTAATCTGCATTCCACCAGGGACATCACTTCCGCGTGCCCCAGGAGGTAGAGCGACGAACTGAGCGAGGACAGCGTCGAATATGCTGTCATGAAAAAGGAGGAGGGCTCGAGGGAGAGGCAGAGCGGAGAAGTCGGAGAGAGTAGCATGGAGGGTGAATAGGTTCCAGTCAGCCTTGGCAAACTGCCACCTAGGGAAGGAGAAGGTAGGGTGAAAAGAAAAAAAGGTAACAAGGATGGGGAAATGGTCACTGTTATGGAGGTCATCAAGAACCCACTACGTGAAATCTAAGCAAAGAGACGACGAGCAGAGAAGAAGATCAAGACAGGAAAGGGTGCGAGTGCGAGAGTCCACATGAGTGGGTTCACCAGAATTCAGAAGAGACAGGGAAAAAGAGAGGACAAATGGTTCAGTGAAGGCGACCTCAGGTGTTTGTCAGAGCATCACCCCAGAGGGTATGCCGACAGTTGAAATCACCCAGCAGGAGCACAGGCTCTGGTAAGGAGTCTAACAGGTGCTTAAGATCAGGAAGAGAAAGTGGAACATTTGGGAGGAGATAAATGGAACAGACCGTATACCATTTACTCACAAAGACATGGGCCGCTGAACATTGGATAGGCAACTGAAAGAATAGGGGGATGAAGGGAATATCAGTACGAATCAAGAGAGCAGTAGAGTTATGGGCCCCAGCAAAAACTGAGGGGGAGGGGAAGAGAAAGGAATAACCACGAAAGTGACCAGTACGAGCACCAAGCATCGGCTCCTGGAGACATACACAAAGTGGTGAAAACTGTGTTACCAGAAGTTGAAGTTCATGGAAGTTGGCATAAAATCTACGAATATTCCATTGAAGAACAGACATTATCAAAAAGAGAGAGAACAGCAACAGAGAACAATGAAGAAACAAAGGTAAAGAAGAACACAGTATACTAAGTAAGATCAGGATCAGTGAAATCAGGGTTAGGGGGCATGGGTAAATTTATCAAGGACGATGGAGTACAGGGAGCGGGAGGACGGACTCGAGGTGGACGGACTGGGTCCGGAGCTGGAGGAGGCAATGGAGATACGGTCAAGGGAATCAGGGGGAGGGGAGGAGGCAGAAACAGGGGAGCGCACCTCATCAAGGGCAGCAACCGAGAGAGAATCGAGGACCAAGGGAACTTCCATAGCTGGGACAGGGCGGTTCCTCACCGAAATTGGAGGGGATGCAGGGAGAGAATCGGAGGATGGGGAAGAAAGCAATACCTTCTTACCTGCCGAGAAGGAAGAAGGAAAGGAGCCAGGCTTACGTTTCTGACTTAAAGAGACAGGTGTGCCAGCAACAACGTTCTGGGTGTCAGTCTCCATAGTCTCAAGGAGACTAGAAGATTGATGGGATCCCTGGATTTGAAAGTTCTCGTAATCCATCCTATCATTTTTCTGGCCGACGCAATATTTGCTTGGTTATGCTACCTAAACGTTAGGTCGTCAGACATTGTTATTTCCAAATCCTTTATATGTTGCTTTCCTACTATGGGCAAATCTAATTGTGTTTTGTTTTTGAAATTCAACACACTTTTGGAAGTTTCGGCTTTGGCGGGTAGGCGGTTCCATGGGTTACTAACTCTGAGTGTGAAAAAGCATTTCCTGTTCTCAATCCTTCTTTGTGGCTTGTTAAGCTTGAAATCTTTGCTCCTTGTTTGCGTTACATCTGACCTTCTGAAGAAAATATCCGTATCAACATCCTCAACTTGTTCAGTATTTTAAAAGTTTCAATGAGATCCAGCCTGTCACACCTGGTTTGCAGTGTTGTTAGGCCTGTGGCCTTCAAGCGTTCCTAATATGAAAGATAACTTAGCTCTGGAATGACTTTTGTTGCCCAGGGTTGCACCTTCTCCAGAGTAGCTACGTTCTTCTAAAAATGAGGTCTTCATGCTTGGAACAGTAATCCAAGTGGGGGTGCACCAGTTTTATACAGTGGAACCATTACCTTTTTTTCTTATAGTTAAAAGTACACTTCATTATCCCAAGAGTTTGGTTAGCTTTTCTGACTGCTGCACCCACCTGTTGTGTAACTGTTAATGAGTAGTGAACCTTGACTCCAAGGTCCCCTTCTTCATCAATCTGCTATAATGTAATGCTATTAATTTGGTAGTCGTGACATAGATTGTTATGCCCCTCATGCAAGGTCATGCATTTGTCAATATTAAAAAGCATTTGCCAGTCTTCTGACCATTTGTGGAATTCATGTAGATCTCTTTGTAAGGCTTCAATATCGTTATCATTTTGCACTTTACCATAAATCTTTGTGCCATCTGCAAACTAGATGTGGTTTATAATATTCTCGTTACGTCATTGATGTATATGACAAAAAGTAGTATCTGTTAGTATCACAAGATGAGATAGTACTGTATATGACTAATGATCTTAATAGCACCTCTTACATCATCTTCAGCAGGATTCACTTTTATTATAATGGCAAATTTCTTGTCGTTTAAATTATTTCAGTAATGGGGGGCCTGTCGGCTGAGTGGACAGCACTCAGGATTCGTAGTCTTAAGGTTCTGGGTTCGATCCCTGGTGGAGGCGGAAACAAATGGGCAGAGTTTCTTTCACCCCAATGCTCCTGCTCACTTAGCAGTAAATAGGTACCTTAGCGTTAGACAGCTGCTATGGGGTGCTTCCTGGGGATGTGTAACAAAAAGGAGATCTGGTCGAGGACCGGGTCGCAGAGACGCAGAGCCCAGAAATCAATCTCAAGATATGTGTATGATGAGCATTCAAGGGCTTACTGGCTCTTTCAAAAGTGGGTAGTTATTCTTTCTTAACAACTGTAGTAGACAGCATCTTCAGAACTTTAGTGTCTTCTTGTACACCCATTATTTATCTCCATTACATACAAGGTAATTGCATACGTCATACGTCTGACGTAATCATACGTCAGGCTGCGAGCAGCCGCGTCCAACAGCCTGGTTGATCAGTCCAGCAACCAGGAGGCCTGGTCGACGACCGGGCCGCGGGGACGCTAAGCCCCGGAAGCACCTCAAGGTAACCTCAAGGTAAAGGTCATAACAAAATTTCAGCGTACAGTATTTACCAGCAATTTACATTTAAAAAATGCAAACCCAATTGGATCCAAAGATTTATGATACCGTTGCTCTAGCGTTCATTATACTGTATAACTTATAGTTCTTCCATGAGGTAATCACCATAGAGAAGGACAGTGGTTGTCATCTTGTCACCATGATATTCAGCGAGCCTAGCCAGGAAGGTGGAGTGTATTAAAATACTGAAATTGACAAGTGAACAGAAAGTCCTGACCAAGGGTAAAAGTGCTAAAACAGGAGTAATATAGGTTGGTCAATTTTTTGGCCTTAAAATGTCACATTTCTAAAATAGCATTTAATTCTTACACTTGTCCAATCATTATCTGTCATTTCTCCTAGCGCTACACATATCTGTGATTTCCTCCCAGTGTTCCAATCATTAGCAGTGGTTTCCTCGTGTTCTAATCATTAGATGCAATTTCTACCTGTGCTCCAATTATTGAGAGATTTCCTGTTATCCTATCATGATCTGCAATTCCTCCTGTGATCCAATCATTTTAATAGGTTAAACACTCAAAATTGTTTATATCCGTTGAACCTTTAATTCAAATGAATTTTGACAAATATTTTCAAGAGGTGAAAATATAAGCCGACTTGTTTTCATCAGCAGTAAAAAGTTGCTACGAAAGCTGTTAAAATTAAGATTTTATTCTCTGTGGTGTTAATAGCACTCTTGCACATGACTGATTGCCCAACCCGTTCTCGCACTTGCTTACAGTCAATACTGGCTTATTTAATAAGTGCATATGTGACATACTAATTGATTGTGAATATTTTCGTTTACCTTGAAAAGCTTCATAGAAAACACTGACCTCACCTAACCTTCTTAGTATGTTAAGATAAGCATCTTATTGCTTCTTAATTACAATTATTACTTAACCTATACCGTTGATAGGTTAAGTAATAATTGTAATTAAGAAGCAATAAGATGCTTATCTTAACATACTAAGAAGGTTAGGTGAGGTCGGTGTTTTCTATGAAGCTTTTCAAGGTAAACGAAAATATTCACAATCAATTAGCATGTCATATATGCACTTATTAAATAAGCCAATATTGACTATAAGCAAGTGCGAGAACGGGTTGGATTGCCACACATCCATACCTGCCATATTATCTTTGTTTTTCTTTAGTCTTTCCAGTTAGAACAAATCTTTTCCAATACTTCTCAGACTTCAACACTTTCCATCCTCGTAGGAATGTTCAGAAGCCTCAGTCATAGAAACATTACTACTGCATGAGCAAGTGGCAAGTTTCTAATAACCAACCTAAAGTAATTTTAATTCTTTAGCAAATATTTTGAGCATTAATATAATTCTTTAATTATAAGTGTTGATATGGGTGATTACATATATATGCCTTGCATAATTATTGTATAGACTATGGATGTACAGTTTCCGCACCGTCCAACTACGGTATAGCTATGACACACGAGATGTGTGTAGGTTCGTGTTCATTACACAGTACATTTTCAAAGTCTTGTGAACAAATGGTACATTTCCATTTATACAGAGCAATGTCAATAAAGCCAATAAATCCAATTGACACATTAAAATACACATTCTATACAATTCGAATATGCAACAGTTATATCATTCTTCATATAATTTAGAATTAAGAATAGAACTGCAATTAAGAACGTTTATTTATGAAACACTAAATAAAAATAAGATAAATGCTTTTATGTTTATTCAAACTGCCAAAATTTTGCAAAAAAAATGTTTAAGTTACATCTTTCATGCACTTTGTGCTTATTAGTTAAAATGTATATACAGTAATAAATTTTGTATATTAACACATCCAAAATGCATGTAGTGCATTTTATACACTGATTTCCCAAAATCAAAACCCTCACATATGGAGAATAAACAGCGCTAGAATTAACATAAAATTATTTGTAGCACAAGAAAAATATCTCGTCATTTTCACTCGCATGAAAATGTCTTAATTTGTTTATAGGCTTGTACTGTGATCAAGCCTCAAAGTCATGAAATGTTCTCATTCCTACACGTACTTTAAAGCAATTGTAAACTTGTAGAGCCCTTCTCACAGACATATTAAGCTCTCCATCAGTACACACTGGTGATCTTCTCACACATGGTACGCTCTCCGTCAGTACACACTGGTGGAGACCGTCTCACAGACATGGTATGCTCTCCGTCAGTACACACTGGTGGAGACCGTCTCACAAACATGGTACGCTCTCCGTTAGTACACAGTAGCCTGGTTATTACTACTTCACAGTAATTCCTGCAGACTTGTGCCGTCCATTATCACCAGTTTTCTTCATAATTAAATCAATCTTGTCTCCACATTCTGCCAATTATTTGTATAACTTGAATTCTATTAGGAACTCAAACCTTTGCACCATTTTTAATGTAGCTGCATTATCAGCTGTATATGTATAACATGAGAGTTTGTAATTATTAACTATTTGATTCTTTTACCCTCATCCTTTGGAAATTAAAAAGGAAGCATAGTATACTATGAACCCAATCTGAACTTGCTTTATTCTTCCTTGTACAGGTAATGCACATTAACAAATTAACCAAAATGTTATACAAATGAGTGCAGGAGTGAGGAAAGACAAAGAATTCTGTTACCAAGGAATATACAAATATGAACCCAACACTCAGTACTGTATTGTGTATATGACAATCAAAGTGCATGGGCAGAAGTTAACTGCTACTGTTGCTGATATACCTGAGGGCCATTGTGTCTACTTGCACTCACACCAACACCAAGCATGTGGCCACACACTCAAAGGCTTTGCAGACTATTCTGCACTCACACACACACACACACACACACACAATTATCGTTTTTTTTAAATCAAAATACATTACACAAATTCATTTGCAGGAAGGTTAGATGATAAAATTAATGCAAACTTTGTTTTTTAACAAACCTGCATTGGGGTAATTTACTCAAGGTAAGAGGCTGTGTACAACTTGATAAAAGCATCTCCTCAACTAGTTTAATAATATACAGACAAATATTGATATATACAGTGTATATTCTGTATACATAATAATAAAACAAATTTAGCTAGCCCTATTTAATGCTCAGAATGCATTAACTGCCAAATAATTATTTGTAATGCATTGTTAATGATTAAAGGACACATGAATGTCACGAGGAAGTACAGTATTAATATACTTCACAGCTTTCTGTGTGCCACCTCTCTTCAAGAGAACAAAATCATACAATAACAATCAGTTTACATAAAAACTTAACAAGACTCTTATTCCTATGTCAATTTCTTAATGTTAAAATGGAAAACAAACAAGTGCAAGTGCTACTTATTTCTCATAGATCTGATGGCCCTCTTCTTGTAAACACTGACACTCCTAACTAATGGCTGGCTTACTCACCTACTAGATTTGCTCCGTACACAAAATATAATGCAACTTCCACCAATTGAATAGCATCTTAACTATTACAGTCACAATAGATACATTAATATAATCCCATAATTTGTTCTTTGTGGCAAAAGTTCTCTTTCAACAAGTTCACAAAATATGGCACATATATTTTTTTCTGGACATGACCCATATTACAAACTTAAGTACCCCTTTCAATATTGAAATTGTACACATTTCTGTACATTTACTTTGAATAGTTTGCTATTCAAATTCAATTCATAAATGTTATTCATAAATGTTCTTATAGCTGCTTTCTGCTGTGTCGGTGGGAAGGCCAAGAAGCACACTGCACCACCCGTGCAGTACTCCCACTGTCAGCATATTGGAAAACTTTCTAATTTCGGTTGTAGAAGCTAACAAACCGAGCGGATGGCTAACCAACCATAGGATCCCAGAGTACCATATAGCAGCAGTTGAAGATACAGTTGACGACCAATCTTGGTACACACGAAGGGCACAGTAATGGCGGTGAAGAAAAGAAATGATGACAGGGTTGACCAAATGCTAATACGTGAGGCATGACCACCTAACCTCTTCTGCACTGTTGCTCTCTTCTCATTATCTTTAGTGAAGAAGTTTTCTGCCAATCTGTCAATACCACATAAAGTTAATATTAGAATTTGATATCATGTAGGATTAATTGAGTTGTTTCAGTTCTGTACAGAGGAAAATTATAACTTGGCAAAAGCTTGCCTTAAGCCCTGGGATGTGTATTATACAATACTTACATTTAACACAGCATTCCCGAGATATCTTTTCCTTAAAAATACATCTTTTTCAATTCCAATAAGAAAAAACCAGCATTGAATGTAATGAAATGCCATTTTCTGGCTGAGACCCGGAGGCTCCCCGGAGCTAACCAGGCTGATATGGATATACTGTATTAGACTTTGGCGTCAGTCAGTGTGAATGGAGTTCTTAGTCCTACTAGGGACCACGAGCCAGAACCTGGCTCCCTCAGAGAGGCACGAGGAGCAATGGCCTATAGAAATGCACGTGTGATTTGGAGCGTTCTATGTCTGCCATCGACCGGGTCAGGCACCCAGAAAGGTAAGCATCCCAAAACAAACCCACTATTCTGGTCGAAACTACAACTGAAAGTCAAACGAGTGGACAGAACTCCCCAAAGACAAACGAGCATGACGTCACCACGCCCCGCTGTCTGCGCAACTCCCCCCCTCCCCCTTCCTGAGAGGGGAAAGGGGAAGCCCCAGACCCCTGAAGCCAGCTACCAACACCCGAGTTCTCAGGCTGGATGTCAAAAACACGCAAAAAAAAAAAAAAAAAACGCCGACCGAAGGGAGGGAGGGAGGGTTGCCTCTGGGTCTCGCCCAGAAAATGGCGTTTCATTACATTCAATGCTGGTTTTCTGGGGAAAGGCCCTTCAGCTCCCTGGAGCTACTTACCAAAAGACGAAAACAAGAGGGACTTACCCAGGAGGCGATCGGCACTCGCTCATCAACGCGAAATTGAGACAACTGGCTACAATCGCCGACCCAAAGCGACACAGGCCCGACTCTGCCCAGGAACACTGACCATGTACCGCACAGCCATGACCCTGGTCGATCGCCAAAAATCCCGCGCCCAAATGTCAGCCCAAGACATTACCGAAGATGGAAGCAAGAGCAGCAAACTTACGAACGTCGTGGGCACGGGGATAGACAGCAGGCTGGCTGAACTGAAGAACCCTGCGGATGACCTGGGAGACCCGAACCCTGGAACAGGGAAGAAGGGAAACCAGATCAACCCAGAGCGCATCCCCGGACACAGAAGCCGTGGCGCTCAAATAACGGTGGAGAGCCACATCCAGACAATACATGATGCACCCCAGGCCTGATCAACCAAGCATCAACAACCAAAGGACCCTTCCAAAAAAGCAGCCGTCTCATACTTCGCCAGAAAAGAAGGGGACGTTTGCAAATGAACAAACCTATCACCAGAGCCAAAAAAACATAAACCTCTGCACCGGAGGAGAGCATGACCAACCCAACCCCATAGAGGCCAATGCCAACAGGAAAAGAGCCATGGAGAAACAATCCTAAACCGAAGGGGCCACTACAAATCGAGGGAAAGAGAGATAAGAGCACCCTGTCCAACGACCAGGAAGGCTCAGGCAGCGCATGAGCAGGCTGGAGGTGAAACAACGCCCGAGACAGCTTGCGAAATGGTGCAAAAGTGACATCAGTGCCGAAAGCAAGCTACAGCGGCTCTGCCAGTGCCGCACGATACAAGGAGACAGTATTCGATATAAGATGACAGTCCTGAAATAGCCATGAGAGAAAAGACAAAAAATTTAACAGAAAGCAAAGTAAACCTACGAAGAGACAAAAAGAAACGGAAGGACTGCCAGTAAACTTCATACTGCAGCCGAGACGAAGTACACAGGTGGGACACCATTAACGAAGCCACCTGATCACCATACAGATGGTGATAGACTAGAGTAAAAAATATCAGACGAAGACTTGAGAAGATTGAATCGGCCACGTAATGGACCTGACCGATCTGCTGAAAGAGGGAAAATCCCTGGGTTCAGACACCGAGCAAGCAGCACCTGAAACCAAGGCTGGGCCGTCCACCAAGGGGCCAAGAGAACTACTCTCCTCTGGTAAGTCTCCAAGTGAGACAGGACCTGGAGCAACAGCTGAACCAGGGGAGGGGGGGGTTGGGGGAGAGATAACCCCACCTCAACCAGTCCTGCCAAAACACATCGACCCCAACAGCCCCGCAGTCGGGAAAGGGCGCCACATATACCAGGAGACACCTCTACCACACCAATCTGAAGAGGTCCACCTCCGGGAGCCCGTACGTCCGACAAAGCCAACTGAATGAGTCGGTGTCAACCGTCTATTCCTTGGAAAGGGGAATGAACAGAGACAGGCCATCCACCAGGACGTTGGACACCCCCCTGAACGTGAACTGCCAGGAGAGTCAAACCCTGGGACACCCGAAGCGACACGCCTTAAAGTGCCAAGGACCACATCGAACCCCCTTGGTTCAGGCAATGAACCACCGGGAAACAGTCCGAATGGACCTGGATCGTCGATCTGCGAGCGACCCGAACCCTCCTAAGTGACATCCACATCACAGTGAATTCCCACACCGTGCTGTGGACTCGACGGGAGAATGGACCCCACCACCCCTGGCCGGCCTGGTGAGCACTGGTCACTAAGCCCCAGCCAAGAGACGCCGTGTCCATGAGCACATCAAGCGAGGGCTCGGGTAGGCGTCAAGGTACTGAACCCCAAAAAAACTGAAGAGGAAGCCGGCGACGCAGCAGCCAACGCAAGGTTCCCGGAGGCCGTACCCAGCAGCCGCGAGCGAGGCAGAAGGGAATTCCTTGAATGAACCAGAACAGCAAATCAATAGACCATCACAGCAAAGTTCAAGCTCCCACAAAAACCCTCAAGCAACCACCAAATGACCCGGGAGCCCCCCAGAAACAAGTAAAGGTGGGAGCGCAGCCAAAGCAGAGACTCCGGAGGGAGAGACTAGGAAGCAGTCCAAGAGTCCCACGCAAGACCCAGCCAAGTCCGAAACTGAGAGGGAACCAGATGGGACTTCTGCCAGTTCATCAGGAACTCGAACCCGGCGAGCTTAGAAAGATCCAGATCCCTGGCAAGCAGACATGCGAATTGGCTGGGAACCCAGACCAGCCAGTCTTCGTGGTAGGCCAGCAGCACCCGAAGACCTAAGAGACGTGGACAGGCCAGCATGACCTGAGTAAGCCGCGTGAGCACGCGAGGTGTTAGGTGCAATCCGAACAGTAGACAACGAAAGCGGTAACAGAGACGCCCCAAAACAAAACCCGAGCCAATTCCTGAACCCCGGATGAATTGGGATGTGCTAATGCACATCCCAGAGGTCCAGAGACACCATCCAAGCGCCCGGCTCATCTACTCCTCCAAACCCAGTGTCCCATAATCGCAACTGTGCCACTTGCTGTACCTCTTCCCATCGACATAGTGAAGACTCCTTTTCTAGATTTAGTGACCATGATCAGTAGTAGTAGCTGTGTTGTGGCTAGTTTTAGCAATTTTCAGAGTGTTACTAAGCAGAGGTCTGCTGTGTTAGCATCTCGCTATGCTGTGCGATGTCGTAGGGGGAAATTGAGGAAAGATTCAACTTCAAGTTCAACTGTACGTGCCCACCCTGTGCATATTAGAAGATCTTCAGCTCGATGTCCATGTAGTCTTGTTGGAGGTTAGATTCCTACCCGTGGTGGCGGCGGTGCGCCTCAAGCAGCACTATCATCAACTGTTTGTGGAACAAACACTTGATACAAATGTGGGTGTTACAGGCATTTTTCCCTTATACTGACACACTAATTGCCCCTCTCAACATTAATATTTTCATCATATTTCTTTGTAATGTTGTGGATGAAATTGGCTTCAACAAACTTTTCCTTCCATGCATCCCACTTGCTTTCCACCCTTACAGGAAACAAGAACTTGCTTGCATCTCCTTGACTTAATTGCATGTCAAGCTTCCATCGATGTCTACTTGTCCTACCTCATTTGAATTTAAATAGGCTTCCTTTATCCATTTTGTGTATTTCTTGTACATAGTTCATCATATTCCCCATGTTTCTTCTTTAATGTTGAGGCTGAGTTCTCTCAACCTCTTCTTATACAACCCATCCTCAAGCCAGACTTTTTGAAGCTTTGTTGTGCCTCATTTTATAAAATTTACTCTTCTCAAATGTTCTACGATCCCTTTTCTAGTATTTTGAAGGGCATGCATGTTAATGACACTAGAATAAAGTGTAGTGCTTCATATCTGCCCCCTTTCTTGAATATTGGAACTACATTTGCCTTTTTCCAGATTTCCAAAAGCTCTCCCATCTCTAGTGTAATGTTCAACAACGTAGTTAATCAGTAACACAAGATCCCTGCAGCTTCCTCCAGTAACCATGGCGATATTTAGTCTGGTCCTGCTGCGTGTTACATCCAGCTCCTCCAGGTATCTTTTTACCTCTTCTACATTAACTAATTCTGTCAAGGGTTGTTTCTGGTTGTCTGTTGTCACCCCTGCTTGGACAACAATCTCGTTCTGGTTTGAAGGCTTCCTAGAACCTCTTGTCGAGTTCTTCAAACACTTCTCTGTCATTCTCCAAGAATGTTCCTCCTTGTCCTCACAGTTTAATCACATGGTCTCGTGTCAATTTTTCTCTGAACATGACTGCAACAGCTTAGCTTGGCTTTGTTCTTGCAACAGTGTCATTTTTAAAACTGCTGCTCTGCTGCCCTCCTGATTCTTGTGTATTCATTCCTCCTGCTCTTTATTGCCTCCTAATTTGCCTCTGTACCATGTCCCTTTACTTTTTAAATGCCATTTACTTTCTTCACCAGTCAATTTCCCTGTGGTAACAATTGCCAGGTATTAGTATCTTTGCTCTGACTCTCCTTGCCACTGTGGCTTCCATGTTTATTACCTTCAGGCATGTTTCCATTCATTTACTATATTGCACACTTGACCTTCCAGTATTTAATGGGGTGTTGTAAATAACACCTACCATTATCCTCGTGGTCCTCACTGTTATCATACCTAGTATGAGGTCCTGCTGGTTGGTTACCGCCAGAAGCTCTTACCTCCACAAAGCTTCAATGTTGTTGTATTTGTAGGGTCACTTCCCCCTCCCCACTTTCCCATCATTTATCCCATTTATCCTTTCTTTTCTTACTGCCTGGTATCCTCTTGGGAGTATTGTCTCCTCTATTATGTTCATCAGTTTTGTCTCAAACTACAATTATATGAGGATGCCGTTCTGCTACTCATTCTTGTAACTCTATCTCTTTATTTGCAGTGCTATCTGCATTTGTTTACAAAATTATTATGCTATTGATTTGTACTGGGCGGCTTAGTTTCCTTCCAGGAGGTACAATAGATTCTCCCTTTAAGCTAGTCCCATTCTGATTCTGGAGGGTCACATGTGTTAGTGTTTGTCTAGTCACATATACATTCTCCCGAGCTCTTTCCTTGCCAATGTGATTAGGCCCAATTTCTTGCTGTATCCAATTACCATCCTCGTGACCTGGTCCCATTTCTTGTTCCCACCACCCCAGCTCCAGTTCCTGTCCCTCTTTCCCTTTCCCTTCACTTTTCTCCTCTATTTCTCTTGGCTTCCTGACCCACATCCCATTCAATGAACACCTTTAGTCTTGTATGTTGACTGCTGCTGCTGAATTCCTATTAATTCCTTCATGGTCATTTCTAGTTCATATATCTTCTCTTTTTCTCTCAGTTTTCTATCTTCAGAAAGTCAGAAACTGGAGCCAGAGCAATGTGACCACCAAGCATGGACATCAGTACAGAACTGACGCGATGGGCCGGCCCCCTCCTCCCCCAGGCGAGGGGGAAGGTGGGGGCAAACTAGCAGCGGGGGGGGGGGGCTAGTTTCATGAAATTTTGGTTGTTTGTTTTCAGTGTTGGGGAGTTCTTTTAGCAAGATTGAGGCTTCAGTCTTTTTAAATCATAAAATAGTTTGTTTTGACTTGCCTATCTTTCTGGGTGCTTCCCTAGTGTTGGTAAAGATGATAAACTTTACACTTAAAAGTGTTCATAGGCCATTGCTCCCTTCGCCTCTCTGAGGGGGCCAGGTCGTGGCTTGTGGTCCCGGTAGGCCAGTAGACCTCTGTGACTGATGACTCCTAGTAGTATGGCACTGAATCATTGTCACAGCTTCAGGGAGCCAATGGGGATCCACACAGAAAACTATATTAGCTCTATCTCATAAGACATCACAGAGGCTCCTTGAAAAAGCTGATGATGAAAGGTGCCATTAAATGCCACAGATATAGCTCTCCACATATTCAATTACTGAATCAACTTTTCTTATAATTCACAAAAAATTGGCATTGATACTTACTTGTCTTTCTCTATATAAAGATTTTGAAGCCAGGTCTTTAGTTGCTCCTCCTCATTTGGGACCTCCGTCATGGGGATGCGTCGAATATGAATGTGAACCTTTTTACACCTCCCCATCAGGAACTCTGACCAGAGAAACCATTGTGGTATTAACTAAGGACACATTTGTAATAGTACATTTACAGTCAATAGGTGATTATTTACACACACACAGGACAGAAGATGGAGGAGGCAGGAGTCATACTGCAGCAAGCTCCAGGAATATAGAATTACCCAAGTATTGGGAACGGGTTGAAGGCTACAGTGGTGTCCCAGGTTACGCAAAGGTTGTGTGAATTTTAAAAGTAAATAAGATACGAGAAAGAAGTGAAAGCGAGTGAAAACTGCCGAGTTTAAAGAGTTTTTCTACAACAAACTATTGTTAGTAACAAAGATGGCCACCACCACGGGGATTGTAAACACACCAACAGATGATTGTTTCAAAGGATTCTCACTACATGATATAAGGAAAGGAGGTTTTCTTGGGGATATGCTAAAGAATTATGAAGAAAAAGTACAATTAGAAAAAGAAAATGGAGCTCTCAGCGGGGCTAGTTTCGTACTTTAAAAGGAAGTATTCTGCAGCAAGGTAAGAAAATTACTGCATTAATGGACAAGATAATAATTCAGGAGGAACAAATTCAGGAACTAGTGAAAGAAAATGAAGTATGGAAAGTGAAGAGTGATGAATTTGAAGAAATAAACAAGAAAGTTGACTCATACGGTGAACAACTCCAAGGAACCCCTTAGGGCCCACATGGAGTTAGGCAAGGATATACAAAGAGAAACTTCATTGACGACTCACATAGAGGAGGTTCATGAAGAACTAGGAAAGTACAAAGAAGAAATAAAAAGAGACGTATGTGCAAATTGTAAAAGAGAAAGAGACAATCAAGGAAGTGTGTTTGGAAGTCAAAACCAGAAATGACCAACAAGAAGCAGGAATTAAGCAAGCAGTTAGGAAAGAACTGGTAACCAACAGTAAACTAGCACAAAACACTGAAGACAGAAGTAAGTTCATAATTATCTTTAGGGGTTTTAGAAAAGGAAATTTCATCTAGGGTGGACAGAGCAGCAGCAGAGATGAAAATCAGAAAATAGTAGGTTTAAGAGAAGGCCTAAATTCAAAGGAAAATGTCTGATTTTAGGAGGATAGGAAAATGAGAATGACAAGAACCGCCCCTTAAGGGTGACAGTTAATGGAGTGAAACACGTGACGAAAGTGCTTAGAAATGCCAGATTATTGCAGTGTTGAGGATGGCAAACTTTGGTCAATAAGACAAGACCTCTCAAAGGAAAACAGAGAAAACCTGAAAATGAACCTCACTGAAGTAAAACATCTGAATGGGAATAGAAATGAAGAAAAATTATTTTTTCCTGCAAAGTGTCAGGGACTGGAAAGCTAGTGAAATGGTACATAAAAAAAGGCAACAAAATCATTAGTGGAAGGGAGAGTAAAGAACAATGGGAAAGGGAACATGTTCCTGAAAATTGTATATACCAACACAGATGGAGCGAGATAAAAAAAATATGGGAGCCGAAAGATATAATTCAGCTTAAGGTCCCAGATATTGTCGCATTAACAGAGACGAAACTTGAAGAAAATATTTTAAATGAAGCCATATTCCCAAGGGACTACTCAGTTTGGAGACTTTTTTTTTTAGATATATACAAGAGTTGTTACATTCTTGTACAGCCACTAGTACGCGTAGCGTTTCGGGCAAGTCCTTAATCCTATGGTCCCTGGAATACGATCCCCTGCCGCGAAGAATCGTTTTTTCATCCAAGTACACATTTTACTGTTGCGTTAAACAGAGGCTACAGTTAAGGAATTGCGCCCAGTAAATCCTCCCCGGCCAGGATACGAACCCATGACATAGTGCTCACATGACAGGAAAACTAGGAATATGGGAGGAGTGGCTGTACTGGTGAAAGAACACCTGAAGGTAAGAGTTAATACTTGACAACCATCGAGAAGTTGACATAATGGCATTGCAGGTCTGGAATCGGGATGATAAACTGACAATTCTAAATGCCTACAGCCCACCAGCAAGCAACACATGGACTAAGGAAGAACTGGATGACAAACAAAAGGGCCTCATAATGGTCATGAGAGAGAGTATAGTACAAGCGGATAAAGATAAATCATGATTGCTGGTACTGGGGGACTTCAACTTTAAAGCAATAGACTGGGAGGCCTATGAAACAAGAATGGATGACATTTGGACAGGCAGATTTGTAAACCTCATTTTAGGAACATTCATGTATCAACACATCAAGCAGGCCACAAGAATGAGGGAAGGGGATGTTCCGCAGTACTGGATCTAATATTCACCAGGAAGGAAGGAAGAAGAGATATTTGACATCCAGTACCTTCCTCACTTAGGAAAGAAAGATCATGTCCAGTTGGACATTAAATATGCTTTGAGATACAATCTAGGAGACAATGGGGACATTGAAACAGTTGTTAGACTATTTCAGGAGAGGACATTATGGGGAACTTAGAAAATATTTTAATGAGTGTAATTGGACAGACTTGTTGCTAGGCAAGGAAGTAAATGAGATGTATGCCAAATTTTGTGAAATATATGAAGACACACAAACATTCACACCAAAACAGAGATGCAGGACCAGAAAACAGGATTGGTTCGACAGAAATTGTGCAAGGGCCACAGACCAAAAGACACAAAAATGGAATCAATATAGGAAGAGGTCAAACCCTCAAACACTCTAGCAATACAAAGATGCAAGAAACAACTACCTGGCAGTGAGGAGAGGAAGACAAATTTTGAAAAAGGAATAGCGGACAAATGTAAAACAGAACCAGGTCTATTCTATAAATTCATAAACAACAAATTGCAAGTAAAGGATAATATTCAGAGGTTGAAAATGAGAAAAAGATTCATGGAAAATGAAAAGAAAATGTGTGAAACATTAAACGAGAAGTTCCAAAGTGTTAGTACAAAATGAAATTTTCAGGGAACCAGACACTAAGAATTCCAGAGAACAACATAGAGCACATAGAGGTGTCTTGAGACAAAGTGGAAAAATGCTCAAGGAGCTAAGTAAGAACAAAGCAGTTGGTCCAGATGAGTTTCACCATGGGTTCTGAGAGAATGTGCACTCAAACTCATCATTCTACTTCAATTGATTTTTCAGGCATCACTGTGTACAGGAGTCGTAGCAGATGTGTGGAAAAAGGCTAACATGGATGAAAAAGGCTAAAATAGTTGCAATCTACAAAAGTGGCAGTAGGGAAGACCCCCTGAATTATAGACCTCTATTGTTTACAAGTGTAATAGTCAAAATATTGGAAAAATAATTAAAACTAAATGGGTAAACACCTGGGAGAAAAAGATATAATATCAGACCGTCAGTTGATCTGGAAGATCGTGTGTAACGAATTAAATCAGTCTATATGATTGAGCTACATAGATTTTACAGGAAAGAGATTGATTAACTGTATCTCTCTAGACCTAAAAAAAAAAAAAAAAAAAAAAGGGCTTTCGACAGAGTTCCACATAAGAGGTCGTTCTGAAAACTGGAACATATTGGAGGGGTGACAGGTAAGCTTTTAACATGGATGAAAAATTTTCTACCCGATAGAAAAATGAGAGCTGTAATCAGAGGAAATGTATCGAACTGGAGAAATGTCACAAGTAGAGTACCACAGGGTTCAGTTCTTGCACCGGTAATGTTCATTGTCTACATAAACGATCTACCAGATGGAATACAGAATTATATGAACATGTTGATGCTAAGATAATAGGGAAAATAAAGATAATTGTCATGCCCTTCAAGATGACCTGGACAAAATAAGTATATGGAGCACCACTCGGTAAATGGAATTTAATGTAAATATATGCCATGTTCTGAAATGTGGAATAGGAGAACATAGACCCCACACAACCTATAAATTATGTGAGAAATCTTTAAATAAATCTGATAAAGATAAAGACTAAGGGTGGTTCTAGATAGAAAACTATCACCTGAGGATCACATAAAGAACATTGTGAGGGGGGGGGGGCGGCCTATGCTACACTTTCTAACTTCAAAATTGCTTTTAAATAAATGTACGCCAAAATATTAAAGAAATTGTTCACAACGTTTTAGGCCGCAGCTAGAATATGCAGCGGTTGTGTGGTGCCCGTATCTTAAGAAGCACATCAACAAACTGGAAAAGGTGCAAAGACATGCTACTAAGTGGCTCCCAGAACTGAAGAATAAGAGCTATGAGGAGAGGTTAGAGGCATTAAATATGTCAAAACTAGAAGATAGAAGAAAAAAAAGAGGCAATATTTATTTAAGAGGCGAGAGCAAACAAATTTTAATCATCAGAATTAAATTATTTATATATTTGTTGACCAGACCACACACTAGAAGGTGAAGGGACGACGACGTTTCGGTCCGTCATGGACCATTCTCAAGTCGATTGACAATCAACTTGAGAATGGTCCAGGACGAACCGAAACGTCATCGTCCCTTCACCTTCTAGTGTGTGGTCTGGTCAACATACTTCAGCCACGTTATTGTGACGCATCGCCTGCATATTTCTATATTTATTTCTTCTTGTGCACCAGGATGTTGTGTCATATAAACAGAGGCACAACCCAAGGGTTAAGTAAATGTAAATCAGTGATGAAAACGGAAAGGAAATGTGGGAGAGCGGTAAAGATGAAGATTAATAAAGTATAAAACAATATAAAGCCTGTCACAAGCAAAGTGGACAAACAATGTGACAATATAATTGGAAAAGCTGTGGAGTCAATGCTCAAAATTATTTGATATTATGATGATTAATATTCTACCAGCACATTCACCTTCATCACCTTCAGTGATTAAGTGCTTAATTCCACACTAGTTTCTCTATCAGCTATCTCACCCTGTCAGAGTGAAAGAGACAAATGTATGTGAATGCATGTGTTTATATATGTATGTATATATGTATATGTACGTATATGTGTGTGTTTGTATATGTATGTGTATAAAGTACATATGGAAGCTGATCAGAATTACATTTCATCTTTGTAAATGCACATTAATGACACTTCGAACACTTTATGTAGGGCATACGTAAATCTGTGTATCTACGTATTTACGTATGTAGGATAGCTTAGCATTTTAAAAGCGCCGAATCACCTTCTGTGGTTGATTGTTCAATAAATCCCTGAACTATATGTTTAACAGATCTCTAACCCTGTCCATGCAGGACAGAAGAAAATGTATATATGCTGGTTAGAATTGTAAATGTATGGCCACATCTGTGGTAGAAAATAATATAAAAAAAAAAATCATTAAATACAGTACTGTAATAATAACAAAAATCTATGATGAGTTGGCCAATTTCAAAGAATTTTTCCACTCGGGAACCATAGCAAATAATAAACAATCATTAACAAATCAATAACTAACAAAATAATAAGCACTTGATAATGCTGTGCTGGATGTTGACTATACAAGACTTGCTCTATCACAATTTTAACAAAAATATATTGTACACTGTAACTACAATCACTTTAAAAAATGACATCCAGTCTACACACACGGTCACTCTCCCACTCGGCCGAGACTTTACCTATTAACTGTGGTGCATTTCCTCTAACGCCATCCTGGCTCACACACCCTTCATAGAACACGGAGACATCATAAAGAGCATCAAATTTAGCATGCAGATGTTCAGCTACAAGCCACGTGCCTTTAACCTTAGGGACGAGATGGTGCTTCAAGACCTGCCGACAAGTGAAAGGTATTGAGAAAATGTGCTGTTAAGATGTAACAATGCTTCTCTTCTCACAGTCGCACACAATCAAAGTATTATGTACACTATACCACACACAATCCTCTCAGCTGGCTTGGTAATGAATATTTACTACAGGAGAATATAAACAAACTCAATAATACAAGAAATCATTTGCTAGAGAGAAATCTGTCCCAATAGTTGCTGAAAAACATTTGCCAGTGTCTATGAAAGATGGTCTGTCTGGGAAATCATTAAATATTCATATTAAATACGTATTAATGCCCTACCCTTCCCAGCAACGTCTGGAAGGATAATTAAGTACAATAGTCCATTTAAAAACACTTACCAAATCTTCGGGAAAGTTGGGACACCATTATGAAACATATGGAAGATACAAGCTTGTTCCCAGGGGTTAGCTTTCCGGGCCTACTGCAATATGACCACCAGTGACATATTTGTTAACTAATGGCAGACACAGCTTCCCACAACCTCCAAATAACCCTAGTTCACTTCTAGTTCTCTTCATTAAAACTAACAGTCAAGAAATTAGTTAGATAACATATTGTGAATATAACTTTGCTGACAACAGCCCATCCTCCTAAGGTTTCCCATCACCAAGAAAACGGTCAATTTAAAGTGTCGTCTTTACATAACTGAAAGTGTAGGGTTTTCAACCAAGGTGGTTACAACAAGAAAGAAATTAATTCATGAAGACACCACAGTATTCACAAATGAGGCAATTTTATTAAAGAGGAAACTTCTGCATGTAACAATACAGAATTTTTTCTGTAGAGCAGAAAACTGCTACCCTCTTGCTACCCTCAAGGTAGCAACATGATGAAGGGAGAGATTGAAGGGAGCAGCAGCAAGGAGGTGGCACAGGGAGAAAGAAGGAAGGCACTACCTGGCAAACTCTGATACCCAGTTGATCCTGGAAAGGCTTTGAATTTGATGCAAATGCACTTGGTGCCTCTACAGGTTGCACTTCAATGCCTGTCATCAGTATTGTACCAAGAAATAAAAATGGGTAGACTCAAAATTATCACAAATCACTGAATCCTGCTTTAAATATGATAAAAAAAATTTACACCCTAATTATTTTTGTCTAATGCTGTGACCATCTACAAAGACTCCTTAAAAATGGAATTGTGCCAATATTATTTTCCGAGCTCTATGGCTGCATCTACTTTTTTATATTCCTCTCTCAATACAACACCTATCTAAATAATAAATTACTAAACACTGCTGTACTGTCAAATCCGAGCCACAAATGTATCGTACATTACAACATTTGTACACGCATCAATGATGTTGAGAATAAACATTACCTTTCATTCCTTGGAGTGCTGCAAGCAATGAAAAATGTTTGGAAGGTGCAAAAAGATAAAAATACAAAGTAAAAAGTGCATTAACACAAAAATCACGTCCAGTTCGTGAGTAGTAAACCAAGCAAATGCATTCTGTGACCTTATTTACTAAATATATATCTTGTGATTAGTGAATTTCACAAATAAGAGGAAAGGGAAGGAGAAAAATGAAGGGGGGGGGGAGGTTGGTAGAAAAGGAAGTATGCGAGAGGGATAAAAACAAGAGGAAAATTAAGGCAGCTTGGGAGTAAAATTGGGAGAGAAAGAGACAAAGAGAAAAAAAAACAGCGTTGAATGTAATGAAACACCATTTTCTGGGTGAGCCCCTGAGGCTCCCTGGAATATCTGGCTGATATGTGATATATTAGACCGGGGCATCAGTCAATGGAGTTCAGACTACCAGAGACCACGAGCCAGAACTTGGCCCCCCCCCCCCTCAGAGAGGTAAAGGGAGCAATGGCTTATAGAAACCCCCCCATATGGTTAGGGACATTCCATGTCTGCCATTGACCAGGGTTGGCCCCCAAAAAGGTAGGCATAACAAAACAAACCCCACGTGGTAAGAAAAAGTGACCGAAAACCCAACAGGGAGGCAGAACTCCCCCTACAACAACTTAAGAAAACAAGCTAACAAGCAAACGTCACACCTCATTGCTACATCACCAGTCTGTGCAGCTCCCTCCCCCCCTGGACCCCCCCCACTCTGGCTACCCAAGCCATCCAGTTCGGAGGTTGAACATAAAAAAAGAAAAACGGAACTGCCGACCGGAGAGAGGGAGGGTTGCCAGGAAAATGCCCAGAAAATAGCATTTCATTACATTCAAAACTGGTTTTCTGAGGGAAGCCTTTATTGTTCCCTGGAGCTACATCACCAAAGATAAGAAAAATAGGGACTTACTCGGGAGCCGGAGGACACTCACTCAACTCGAATTTCGAGACAACTGGCTAAAACCTGCGACCCAAAGCCACACATGTATGACTAGGACCAGGAATGTTGACGAGATAATGCGCAGCCAGAACCCTGTTCGACCTCAAAAATCTCCGCACCCGAATGTCAGCCCAGGACGTATTGCTGAAGACAGCAGACAAACAAATAAGCTTTCTAACGCCATGGATACCTGGATAGACTGCCCATGGTGTCTATCCAGGTGTCTATCCAGTGGCGTCTATCCAGTGGGTAACCCTTAATAACCTGGAAGACCCGAGCCTTGAAACAGGGAACGAGGGAAACCAGATCAACCCAAAGCACATCCCTGGCACAGAAGCCGAGGCATGCAGGTGACGGTGAAGAGCCTGAAACAGCCAAGAGAGAAAGGAAAAAACAACCCGATCAGAAATAGAGGACAACCTACGAAGAGAAAGAAAATGGTGGAAAGAACACAAGAAAACCTCATACAGTTGCTGAGAAGAAGCCCGCAGGTGGGACACCATCAACGAAGCCACCTGATCATCATACAAATGATGATAGACCCGCGTCAAAATGACCAGACACGAAGAGCGGAAGAGAAGACCAAATCATCCAGGTACCTGACAGAACCGATCAGCTGAAAGAGGCGGAGCCACGGAAAACCTCTTAGGTTTGGATACCAAGCAAGCAGCGCCTGAAACCAAGGCAGGGCCAGCCACCAAGAGGCCAACAGACCTACTCTCCCCTGGTAGGGTCTCCAACCGGGCCAGGACCCGAAGTAACAGCTGGACCGGAGAGGAAGAGATACAGGTAACCCCACCTCGAAAAGTCCTGGTGAAAGGCATCCACTGCAATGGCTTCACAGTCGGGAGAAGGGTGCCACATATATCGGGAGACGCATGAGACCACGCCGACGTGTGGAGGTCCACCTTCTGGCGCCCGAACGTCCAGCAGAGCCAACTGAAGGAGTCAGCGTCGACTGTCCATTCCGTGGACAGGGAAATAAACAGAGACCGGCTGTACCCCAGGACGTTGGACACTCCCTGGATATGAACCGCATGGAAAGCCAAACCCCAAGAATCAAACAGACGAGTCATACGAAACGACCAGCCCCAAAGAGCCAAGAACCAAAGAGAATCACCAAAATAGACAATGAACCACCAGAGAACAGTCTGAATGGAGCCAGATCATGGAACCCCAAGCGACTCGAAACCTCTGAAGCGACAGCCAAACCACCATGAACTTCCGCACCATGCTGTGAGCCCAACAGAAGGACGGACCCCATCACCCTTAGCTGGCCAGGTGATCGCTTGTCACAAAGCCCAGCCAAGAGACGAGGCATCCACGAACACATCCAGTAACCAAGAAATCCAGACAAGCATATGCCATAAGTGTAGGAACAGTGATATAATGCAAAAATCTCAAAACAAGAAATTGAGGCCTAAGGAGACATCTGACTGCCAGCACCGTCACATTCAATAACTGAATGGTGGGTAGCCAGCTCCCCCTTACCCCGTGGGGATGGGGGTGCTGCTAACGAGTGGGGGGGTTAGTTGAATGAAATGTTGCTCGTTTGTTTTCTTTATGGGGGAGTTCTTTTGCATTTTTAAGGACGTAGGTCACACTTTTCAACCAGACAGTGGCCTATTTTGTTTTGCCTACCTTTCTGACTGCCTTTCCTGGTCGATGGCAAGTATAATGTACTGTACTTTAAATGTAAAGGGCTCATTGCTCCCTGCACCTCTCTGAGGTGGGGGGGGGGGGGCAGGTTCTGGCTCTTATCCCCGGGTAGGCAACAAGAACTCTGCGACTGATAGCCCCAAATAGGATAGCACTATATCAGTGGGATACCTTCAGGGAGCCAACGGGGCTCCCCACACAAATAATCAATAATAAAAATGGAGATAAGCCAAACATAGTAATTTATAAATCATAAATATACATTATTGCAGTTTTATACAATGCATGCATTTTAAGTAAATACCCAATTATAAGGGAGATCATCTCAAGTCAAGTTAATAACAGAAGATTCCAAATCACCCCATTTAAGTATTAATATTTTAATCATCCCAAAGGTAGTCTCCAAATTCCATTATTACAAATCAGATTTCCATGCCAAAGTAAGTCCAACAAACCCCACAAGACGGGTTATAATTAACAATGAACCAAAGGCCACGCATCAGAGACGGGACAATATAAGACAGCTACTGATGGAAATCACATTTATACAAACAATATCAAATTGTTTAGCCCAACATTAAGCATTGCACATTATGAAAACACTAATATTATAAACAAATTTAAAGATAATTTCAGTAGTAGTTTGTACAGCAAATCACTTCAGTTACTCTAACGTCAAAAATTACAAAATTCTACGCTCAACTGATTATCTACGATGCAACACCGATCCCCCCGTGAAGAAAACTATGAATCCTACCAACAAGCTCACCATTACAAATTTCAATGACAAGCTCAGTGTTATGAATCCCAACAAGCAGTTCAGCGTACTGAGAAAACACAATTACAAAATTTAAGAATCAATCAAGTGAAATTTCATCAATATGTAAACGTGACAGCTTTGTGAGAATTGTATTATCAAGAATTTTTTTAGCAAAATATTTAAGGCAACTCTTTGTGTGTACAAATTATAGCTTAACTTTAGATAAAAAATTCAGTTGTTTTAAATCCCATTACATTTCATATATAAAATAGAATACTGTACAGTACTATATACAGTAATTTTATATAACAAAATTCTCACATGCAAAAACCAGCATTGAATGTAATGAAATGCCATTTTCTGGGTGAGCCCTGGAGGCTCCCTGAAGCTATTAAACTGACATGTGCCATATTAGTTTGGTGCCAGCAGTCCTTGGAGTTTGAGTGCCTACCTGGGGCCACGAACCAGAACCTGGCTCCTCAGAGAGGCGCAGGGAGCAATGGCCATACTAGCTCTCTACATTTAGAGTTTGTCATTTCTGCCGTCAACTGGGAAAGGCACCCAGAAAGGTAGGTGAACAATTACATACCTCTAACTGGTCAACATTGCAACCCACATCCAAGCAGGCCTAGAACCCCCCCCCCCCCCAATAGAAAATAGTGAATCAAGCAACATGTCATCTAAATAGCACACCTGCTCATTAGTGCCTCACCCTACTTTAAGAGAATGTTGAAAACTGCCAACCGGAGGGAAGGAAGGTGTCAGGGAGCCTCCGAGGCTCATCCAGAAAATGGCATTTCATTACATTCAATGCTAGTTTTCTGAGGGGAACTCCGTCGGCTCCCTGAAGCTATCTACCCACAGGCAAGTAAAAACAGGGACCTACTCGGGAGGCGACAGCAACGCAGGACTCACGAAGACGAGACAACTGGCTGCGACAGATGTCCTGAGGCAACACAAGGCCACAGAGGGCCCAAGATGTTAACAAGATGTCCGACGGCCAAGACCCTGTTCTATTTCCATTACTTTTCGGCCCAAATATCGACCAAAGACAACAGCAAGAGCTGCATACTTCTGCACATTATGGGCATGGAGGTAAACTGCAGGCTGGCTATAACCCTACGGTCAACCTGAGATATAAGGCCTGGAACAGGGAACCAGGGAAATTGGGTCGCAGGTAGCAACATAAAGCCACAACTGGACACAAGACATGACGCACCCACGGCCTAACCAACCAAGCATTAACAACCCAAGGTTCCCTCTGGAAACCAGCCGTTTCATACTTCACCAGAAAATAAGGCTGTAAATGAACAAAACGACTCCCAGGGTCAAAAGAGCAGAAACCCATACCTGAGAAGAGCATGAATTTTATCCACCCGACATCCAGAGGCTAAAGCAAAAAAAAAAAAAAAAAAAAAAAAAAAAAAAGCCTTGAGAAAACAATCCTAGACCGAAGGGACCACCACAAACCGAGGAGAAGAGAGAAACAAGAGAACCCATTCCAAAGACCAAGAAGGCTCGGGAGGCACAAGAGCAGGCCGGAGGTGAAAAAATGCACGAGAGCTTGCGGAATGGAGCGTAAATGACATCTACCCTGAATGCAAGCTGGAGCGGCTCCACCAGCGCCGCACGATAAGAAGCGACAGGATTCGGATAAGATGCCGGACCTGAGAGAGCCAAGCAATAAAAGGACAAAACAACTGGAATGGACACTGACTAAATTGTACAAAGAGGAAAGGAAAGGAAAGGAAAGACCGCCAGGTGACTTCATACTGTCGCTGAGAGGAAGACCGCAGGTGGGACACCATCAACAAAACCACTTGATAACCATACAAATGGCGATACACCCGCATCAAAAAAATAAGTAAATAAAAAAAAAAAAGGCGCAAAGTGCGGAAGAGTAAGTCAAACCAGCGAGGTACCTCACTGGGCCGATGTGCAGAAAGAGGCGGAGCCATGGAAAAAAACCCAGGTTCGGACACCATGCAAGCAGTGTCTGAAACCAAGGCTGGGCTGCTCACCATGGGGCCAGGAGAACCAGTCCCCCAATACCGTGCCAGAACCTGAAACAACAGCTGGACCGGGGGATGAAGGTACAGGAACCCCCACCTCCACTAGCCCTTCCGGAAAGCATCCACTGTGAACACATCACAGTTGAGAAATGGCACCACATATATGGGAAGGCACCTGGACCAAGCCAATACGAAGAGGTCCACCGTCGGGCGCCCAAAAGAGGCAGCATCAACCGTCCACTCCGTGGAAAGAGGAATGAGGCGAGACAGGCCCCTGAATGTGAACACCACGGAGAGCTAAACGTGAGAACTCGGCAAAAGAGCTACCCGAAGCAACCAGCCTCAGAGCCATGGACCACAAGAAACTGCAGAGAACTCGGCACAATCCACAGACCTACATGCCCCTAAGCAGAGCAGACATACACCAAACAAAGATGTCACTCAAAAAGGGAACAACAGAAACACCAGGAAGAACAATAGTGCAAGACGGAAGCGAAAAACGCCTCCAAAAGGCGATTGCAAACCACCCAGCTGTTAACTGTAAACAAGACACACAGCGCCACCAAGCGACCAGCAAGGAAGCGCCCTAAGGAGGCAAAATGGCCACCAAAACAAACAATGAAACTGCTGAAAAACATTCCAGCCAAAAATGGACAAGCCCGATGCTTAAACATGCCAGAAAATGTGGTAAAGCCAAAGCAGAAGAGTAGGAGGGTACCCCAGGCCTTCCAACAAGAACCCCTACCCAGAAGGCACAAAGGCCCCAGGCACAATCAACAGGAGCCCAAGCACTCCAAGTGGGCTCCCCCCTCCTCCCGTGCCCCGGGAACCCCAACACAGACCCTGGGGCAGAGCCCACATCCACGCCCACCTTCCTTGAAGAAAAGGCAGAGTCCAAGGGAAAAGCTTCAAAGAGAGAAGTCTGGTGGGCCGACTCCAAAGCTTCAGCAAGGAAATCGAGCTCAACCTCCATGCCTGAGTCGGAAGGGGTAACCCTCGAAAAACCGAAACCAAGCCTCATTACCAGCTAAAGCCCGCGGGGGTGGGAGCAGTGCGAAAATGCGAACATCACCCACCTGGGAAGAAAGCAAGGGCGCAGACAGAACCAAGGTTGAAGTCACCCCCCCCCCACTAAATCGTGGTCCCTAAAATCCAAACAGGGCAGCTCTGGGGCTTCCTACAGGGCAACCAACCTGACCCAATGCAACACAGAAGACCTAGCATACAACCAAGCAGCCGCCTGACCCTTAACATCCTCAGATGAGGAATGAGTAAATTGAATAACAAGCGAGGAACATGTCCTGCGAGACTCAAGGTCGTAGGTGTCACCAAACTAACAGGCAGCATGAGGGCGGCAGGATGGATGATCATCACCACGAGGCAAAGGTAACGAACACCCCTCAGCATCGCACAAGGTGAGACAGGACTCGGATGACACGTCCACGGTACCCCCCACCCCCGAGCCCTACTGGGATTTCCAGCGCCCGCAGGGTACATAAGCTCTACGGGTACCTTGAGGTGCTTCTAGACACTACTCTAGTGTCTAGGCCCTAGTGTCTGGGTAGCCCAGACACTAGGGCCAATTAAGTCGGAAAGCCCTGTCTGCTGCAGGCAAACTGGCAACCGGTGTCGATGTGAAACCTCAGGGCAAAAGAGCAGGACTACCAAACACAACCTAGGCGAACCTAATGGGAAGCTGGTTACCTGGTTGATACCTGGTTGATGGGGTTCTGGGAGTTCTTCTACTCCCCAAGCCCGGCCCGAGGCCAGGCTCGACTTGTGAGAGTTTGGTCCACCAGGCTGTTGCTTGGAGCGGCCCGCAGGCCCACATACCCACCACAGCCCGGTTGGTCCGGCACTCCTTGGAGGAATAAATCTAGTTTCCTCTTGAAAATGTCCACGGTTGTTCCGGCAATATTTCTAATATAAGCTAGGCAGACCACCTCCGCCAAAGGAAATGATAATGTGCTAAAAATAAATAAATAAAAAGAACCCCGAAGCATCATACACAGCCTAACTGATCCCCAGAGAAACCTCGGCCGCCGCTGAATGCAAGCTGCGCCAGCCGCAGTGTGCCCCACCCAGCACAAACCCACTCCCAACCCGGGGCAAAACAGGAAGCCCTGAACCCCCGGCGAACACCAAGGGCGAGAACACCAATAAGCAATGAAGGCCTCAAACAGGAGTGAGACCCAAACAACCCAGGGAAGATAACCCCTGAATCGCAAGGGAAGTACTTACCGGGCACCTAGGGAAGGGAACCCCCTAGGCGCATGCAGCCCAGTAGACTTATAGGAACACCTGGCCACCACACAGAGCCGGCAAAGCCACAAATGCAAAGCCAAACAAAAGCTTAAAGCTTGAGGCCAGAGAAGACTTCCAACACCTGGCACATCAGTCAACAAACTAAGGATGGTGCGGCCTGCTCGCCTAAGCGGGGTCACCCCCCTCCCCACTGTCGGGAGAGGGTGAGGCGCTAACGAGCGGGCGCGCTAGTTGGATGACGTGTTGCTCGTTTCATTTTTTTTTATTAGGGGGAGTTCTGGACCTCTGTTTGGACGTAGGTAGCAATTTTAACCAGTTAGAGGTTTGTAATGGTTCACCTACCTTTTTGGGTGCCTTCCCCAGTCGATGACAAAAATGACAAACTCTAAATGTAGAGCTCATATGGCCATTACTCCCTGCACCTCTCTGAGGGGCCAGGTTCTGGCTCGTGGCCCCTGGCAGGCACTCGAACTCTAAGGACTGATGGCACCAAACTAATATTGCACATACAAGTTTGATAGCTTCAGGAACTGATGGGGCTCCCCTCAGAAAATAGTTACTATCTATAGATCAAAAACGTTTTCCTTTGACACACGTGAAATAAGGAGCTAAAAACACCAGCATCCCATGTGCTAAGACACCAGCATCCCATGTGCCAAGAAACCAGCATCCCATGTGCCAAGACACCAGCATCCCATGTGCCAAGAAACCAGCATCCCATGTGCTAAGACACCAGCATCCCATGTGCTAAGACACCTATCCCATTGTTACAAGCAATAATTATAAATCTAATAATCCTTACAAGTTGATTTTGTTTCTTCCTACCCGAGCCATCATGACCATCCATCACAGCTGCTTCCTCTGAGGGTCTCTACAAAATAAATGTGCTTTGGTGCTTAGAAAAAAATAATAAAAGAATGGTCAGTATAAAAAAATGTAATATTTGCCATTCTAAGTGTGATTCTAACCAAGAATTTTAACCAGTTAAGACATATCTAGGCATCTCGCTCAACTCAAGAAGTCTGCCATCTCTCACACAGATGAGGCGGACAAGTACAGTTGAGGAAACTAGAACTGGGAGGCACATGGACATTGGAAATACAAGCTAGAGTTGTAAGTAGTACTTTACCTGTATGCAGAGAGTGGTAATCAAGTTAAATGAACTAACAGTAAAGGTAGTGTAATCACCTCCAGCCACATCTTTTAGAGTAGGCATGATCGACCATTCAAATGTCATGCCTAACAAATGCACCAGGCGCCCAATAATACTCACATGTACACATACACGTGTGCACTCACACCCATACAAACGCACACAATTTTGAAAACAAAAAGACATAGGTAAAATTGTATCAAGATATCAAAAAAACTTTTGCGAATAGTGTGGAAGATGGATGGTATGAACTAAATGAGAGATTAGTGTATGCCAACACCACTGGATGCTTCAGTACTCTATATCACACATTACAGGGAGGATATCACACTATGAACTTTGCTCTCACACTATAGCTACACTAAATCAAATCCATCAATCCATTAAATCGATCAACACACACAGGTTACTTCACTTTTGTTTAGATATATGATGAAACCAATTATTTAGCCATATAAACAAAAGTTTACACACCTTCAAGTTATTATCTCTTGCAAACTGTTCGGACTTCTCAATGACCTTGGGTGTCGCAGGATAATATCGTGTACCTTCTGGAAAGATCACCAGCCAAGTCTGGAAATCAAGATTTGCCCATTTAAAAAGCACATACAACAAAATTACAGAATATACATTGATTCAAGAACTATTTTTAAGTGGTAAAACCTATTTTTCAGTTTTATCCAGAGTCAAAAAACCCAATTTTGAAAACTATTTTCTAGGGAATCCCCTTAAGGTTCCCTTTAGCCATTTCACCGAGATTGTTCCCAACTACTAGGTCACATCAGCCAGTTTTTTTTTCTTTTTTTTTTTATTCAACCACAGACGTGGCCACACACATACAATGCTTACCAGCATATATACATTTTCTTCTGTCCTCCATGGACAGGGTGAGAGATCTGTTAAACATATAGTTCAGGGATTTATTGAACAATCAACCACAGAAGGTGATTGTATAGTGCTTTTAAAATGCTAATCTAACCTACAGACATAAATACATAGATACACAGAGTTACGTCTGCCCTACATAAAGTGGTCGATGTGTTCTTTACATAGTGTCATTAATGTGCATTTACAAAAGGTGAAATGTAATTCTGATTAGGTTCCACATATACTTTATATACACATACATATACATATGCACACATATACATATATACGTACTACTATATTTTGGTAGCAGTCTTTCTTGTAAACATATGTTGTTGAATATGACCGAAAGGGTAAGATTAATAATTCTAATACGAATCTTCTTAATATTTCTTACATTTTTCTTCACTGTCGAGGATAATTGAAAAATTAACCCTCCATAAATTCATTTTGGAGAGTTAATTGTTAATCGTCATTGTTAATCGCCTAGGAAGAAACGTTGTCTTGCCTATATACCGAGATCTTTGGGGGTTACAGTCCCCAAGTGGGCATGTGAAGGCATAGACGATGTTGGTTTCCTTCAAGGCGTTCTGTTTGGTGTCTGGGGAGTTTTTCCATGAGTAGATTGGCCGTTTTTTGGTTTTTGTAGTAAATTGTCAATTGCATTTTCTGATTTTTGTCTGTAGGGATAACGTTCCTATTACAGTAATAATATCTTTCAGGACACTTTCCTCTGTTTTATGAGCTGTCGAAAAGAAGTTCCTGTAAAACAGTCTAATAGGCAGGTACAAGTGTTATGTTAGTTGACTCTTCTGAGGTTGCATGGCGTTTCACCTTTCTTTTTATGACGTCTTCAACATAACCGTTAGAGAAGCCATTGTTGACTAGGACCTGCCTTACCATACAGAGTTCTTCATCGACTTGCTTCCATGCCGAGCTGTGACCAAGAGCCCGGTCGCCGTAAGCGTTGACAACACTCCTCTTGTACCTTTCTGAGCAGTCACTATTGGCATTGAGGCACATTCCTATGTTTGCTTCCTTAGTGTAGACTGCAGTGTGCAAACCTCCATTCCTTTCCGTGACTGTTACATCTAGAAAGGGCAGCTTCCCATCATTCTCCATCTCGTAAGTGAAACTTAACACTGAATTCTGCTCGAATGCCTCCTTCAGCTGTACTCCTCTTGACATACCAGAAAACATACTAAGAAAGCTACTCCAAGCTTGCACTAAAGAAGCACCCTTCTTGAGTCCAGATGGGCACATGTATAAGCAAGTAGATGGGGTCGCCATGGGTTCTCCCCTAGGTGTCCCGTTTGCGAACTTCTACATGGGTACCATAGAGCAGAGGATCTTAGTTGACATGGACTTGAAACTCGCCATATACTGCAGATATGTTGATGATATTTTTATGCAGGTACCTGATGTCAGACGTCTGCAGCAGCTGCAGGAGGCATTCGAGCAGAATTCGGTGTCAAGTTTCACTAACACTGAATTACCAGTGCTCACCAGCATTGGTTTCACTGTGCTGGTGAGCACAGTGTAACCAGTGCTCACCAGGCCACCCAGGATTATTGGTCAGCTCTTTTCTTTCAGTCGCACAGTACAGTGCGCAAGTTTTGTGGCCGTATGGTATACCCCGAGGAGGATTCGGATTCCTCCTAGCTCCATGCTCCAGCTTCATTTGGACTACTACCCAGCAGTTCATTGCCTGAACCAAAAAAGGGGGAGGGTGGGTCTCTTCAGTCCATCGCCCTGTGGTAATTACCCAAGTGTAATACCTAAGTGTAGTTATAGGATGAGAGCTACGCTCGTGGTGTCCCGTCTTCCCAGCACTCTTTGTAATATAACGCTTTGAAACTACTGACGGTCTTGGCCTCCACCACCTTCTCACCTAACTTGTTCCAACCGTCTACCACTCTGTTTGCGAAACTGAATTTTCTTATATTTCTTCAGCATCTGTGTTTAGCTAGTTTAAATCTATGACCTCTTGTTCTTAAAGTTCCAGTCTCAGGAAATCTTCCCTATCGATTTTATCAATTCCTGTTACTATTTTGTATGTAGTGATCATGGTGCTGGATGCTGTGTGTGCAGATCA